TGGCTCATGCACTCAGGAATTACTCCTGGCGATGCTCGGGGGACCATATGGAACGCTGGGAATCAAACCTGGGTTGGCTGCATGCAAGGCAAACGCCCTACTCGTTGTGCTATCACTCCAGCCCCGAGCCAGGCTTATTTTAAGATGTATGAAGATACTCATTTTTTGGTTTGTTTTGTTTTTGGAACACGCTCAGCAGTGCTTATGGCTTATTCCTGGCTTGGCACTCAGGGATCACTCCTGGTGATCTTGAGGTGAACTTCTTTCTGTAGAATGTTTCTGTAGAATGTTTGTGTCTGAGAACGCCCAGATAGTACCTTAATTTAGGGATGAGGGAATAAGAAATTAAGAAGTTTCTGAGCAGGTCACAGTGGAGTAGTTTGTGCTAGACCAGAGGCTCCTAAACCTACTTGGCCTATTGCCCCGTTTTCAGAAGACAAATAAATAAATAAATAAATAAATACTCAATGTCCTTTGGAAAGCTACTTTTCTGGGGCTGGGGGCTGGGGAGTTTAGGGGGTGGAACACCTGGCTATGCTCAGTGCTTACTTCTGGCTCTGTGTCAGGGATCACACCTAGCTGTGCTGGGCAGCACCTGGGTGTGGAAAGCAAACACTTTACCCAAGATCTACTGTCTCTGGCCCCCATCTGCCTTTTCATTAAGAGAACAAGAGAACATGCCTCTCCCAGTTAGTTCTACCTAAGAACTCCCCCCCCCCCCACACACACACCCCAGGGGTGGTATCTCCACTTTGGAAAACACTGTGTTGGATAAACTCTTTCCCTTTCTAATATTAAACTATTAAACTCTGAAAAAGGTATTAAAAAGTATGTGTAAGTGACCAAAAGCAGGTAGAAACTTGAAAGACAATAACTCCAAAGAAGAGGATATTGTATCATTCACTTCTTTATATCTTAGGGCAGATCTCAGGCAGTATCATTGAGAGTAATTTATATTCTTATCAAAACCTGCCCGACCAGGGCGCCGGCAGCCGAAGACCTCCAGAACCAGCCACCACCATGCTGAGACCACTCTCCACACTCACGTAGGTACCGGTAGAGGAACAAAGGCGTGCGGGTTCCGGGGCTGAGATCTTCAAGCCTGCTCGGATCGGGGCTGAGCATCCTCCACCCAGATCCTCCATATTCCAGGCAGGGGTCACACCCACCAACTGACCCCCTGGCACAGTGTAATCCCATCAACGGTCAAGACCCAGAGACTATAAAACCCAGATCCCGGAAGACATCTTCTTATCTCATCCTTACTTTGGACAAACTGGTAGGCTACCAAATGTAACCTTCCCACACGGCAGAGTCTGGCAAACTCCCTGTGGCGTACCCAATATGCCAACTACCAGTAACAATGATGGGTCTCATTCTCCTAACCCTGAAAGAGTCTTGAATATGGCACATTTTAAAAAATCTCAGGGCTAGGACGAAGGAGACGTTACTGGGGCTTGCTCGAGGCAATCGACGAACAACAGGATGGTCGTGATCGTGATCATGATCAAAACCTCAGATATTCTTGTTGGCTGAGGAATCTAGAGAATAGAGTCCAGAGTGAGCAAGGCATTTGGAAAGTGTAGAGGAATTCCTGAAAAGTAGAAGGCCATGGAGTGTCATCACAGCACCCAAATCTAACTGATTTGGAACTTGCCAAGCCAGAACAGACTTTCAGCAGCCAGTGAAAACGCAAAGAACAGAATAGATTCAAGCTATTACCCACTGCAGGGGAGACAAAATATGGAGTTTGAAATCAGCCAAGTTTATTGCCTACTAAGCAATGACAAAGACAGAATTCCGTTTCTACAAGGTGTTATTCACAATGTCCAGAATTAAGTCCAATTTCCATAACAAAACAGTATCAGAACTAAGTCTTTTTGGAGTTGGTAGAGTCAATGAGATTGATGACAAAACACTGGAGTTTTCTATTTTAAACATTATGAGTGGTCTAAATCGGGTATGCGGAGGTTTTTAGTACATGTTTTTACTGTTTTATGGCCTTATGATTATTTTACTTTTTATTTTTAATCATTGAGAGATACACAAAGTTGTTCATGACTGGGTTTCAGTCACACTATGTTCCAACACCCGTCCCTTCACCAGTGTCTATTTCCCACCACCAGTGTTCCCAATTTCCCTCCCACTACCCCACTGCCTCCCCTCGACCCCAGTCTGCCTCTATGGCAAGCACCTCTCTCTCTGTCTCTCCCCCGTTCTCCCCACCCTGACTCTCCTTTTGGGCATTATGGTTTGCAATATAGGAGGTACTAAAAGGTTAACATGCAGCTTGCTGCGGAGATGACTCTGGACCTTGCGCCAGGCTGATTTCACCAGGGTACCTCAGATGGGAGCAGGCTTCATCTCTCTACCTGCCCCCTATGAATCCAGGCAACTGCAAACTTCCAAAACCCAATGAAAAACCCAGGTACGCGGGACTAGTGACTGTCAACTCAAGGGATCAGATGGGCAGCTCCTTCCCATCTCCCTACGGGGTCCTGGCTGTCATGCACACAAACCGCCTCTGGGTACCATTTGAGTGCAGTAATGGCCATGATCCAGAGACTCACAAATGGAACTCAGAACCAAGTAACTCCTTGCAGAGATTTCCCTAATTATTTAAAATTCTAGAATTCCAGGAGCTTAAGAGGCTGCATGACATCTCATGCTATTCATAATAAGCAATAAAAAATGAATTATCTAGCATCTGCTTGTTGGGCAGGCTTGAATGGTGGTGGGAAGGTATAATGATGGTGAGATTGGTGTTGAAATATTGAATAACAACAACACAACACACTGTCCTCCCGTTGTTCATTGATTTGCTCCAGCAGGCCCAGTAATGTCTCCATTTTGAGACTTGTTACTGTGTTTGGCATATCGAATACAATGTAATCTATTACTGTGAACAGATTTATGAAAATAAAATTTAAAAAAATCTAAAGTTATCATGTTTGTCCCTTTACCTACCTTTAGCAATCAGTTCTTGTTCAAAATCATCAGTTCCAACTATCATTGTTTTTGATACCAACTATATTATTTTTTGATAAGATTATTGGGATGGTAAATAGAGAAGTGGTTGAACAGGATCTATCTTGATTCTGATAATGCTTTATTTATTTTTGTTTTTTCTTTGCTAGGGGCCACTAGGCCTATACCCAGCAATACTTGGGAACCTTGTGTGCTAAGAATCCAACCTGACCTCCACATGCAAGATGTGTTATTCCATTCTGGGTTTCTTCTGGCCAAACCTAGCTGTACTCAAGGCTTACTCCTTGTTCTGTGCTCAGGGATCACTCCTGGTGGTACTAAAAGGGACAGTATGCAATGCCTGGGATTTAACTTGGGTTGACTGCATGCTAGATAAGCACCTTACCTGACACACTATCTCTTTGGCCCTGCTGTTCTATGAAATATTTCCCTGGCCCCTGGACAGGATCCTTTGTGGAGGAGGCTGTTTGAGGCATTACAGGACACCTTAGTTCTTAACAGCTGCATAGAAGAACAATTGTAAGAAAAAAGTGTCTCCAGACTTTGCAGAAAATTCTGCATTAGGAACTCAGTAGTAACCTGTTCCCAGTCCAAGGATCAGAGAACTGAGGATAGGAGAACACAGGGAACGCTTGAGTTGGTGACAGATGGGATTCAGGGCTGTGAGCTTAACGGGGTATTACAGCTTAGGCCAATCTTTAGACGCTGGCTTGTGTACTAGAATCAGTGTGAAACTATAAAAATAAGAGCCTTCAGCCAATCTATCCTTCTGAAGCTGAATTTCCGAGGGTGAAGCCAAGGCATAAGCTACACAATCAGGATTCTGGGACATCTGCAGGATGACAGTTGGAATATGTGTCCAGGACTCCAAGAGACAGGTTAGGAATGAAGCTGCCTCAGTACAGTAACACTTACCCTAACCAGAGAGGACAAAAGTAGGACAAAAGCATTGTATTCGTCCACGGTGGCTAACTTTCCTCATTAGGAATTTTCTCCAATTTTATTCTCTTCTTCTACTTGTTCGTATGTAATCGTTTCTATTCTCCACTCACTCCCCAATAGCTAATCTCTGTCTGTCTAGTCCTCTTGTTCTAATATTTGCTTCTGGGGGTTTGTTTTGCAGCGCTGGGGATGAACTTTGCCACTTGGCCCCTGGCTCTGATACTTGTTTGGATTGCCCATGACTTGGGTAATAGTTAAGAGGGGAATCAAAGTCTTGCGCACTCATTCAGTTCAGAGTTCCTAATTTCCTTTTAAGGGTACCTAATAAGCAAGCATCTCTAATAACCAAGAGTGCAAGGCAGTAAGACAAAATCCAAGCTATAAAAGAAACCTCAGTTTTCTAGAGAATTGCCTCACTCTTTGAGATCCAGGAGGAAAAAATTCTCTGGTACTGTAAGCATGAAACCTGTTTTATATGTACATGAAATACTGTACTCTGTAGGCGCACTGTGTGTCTTGAAGAACTGCCCGTATCTCAACCTGAGATCTGTATTCTTGAGAAGAAGCCCACATTCTCTCTGGAGAAGTATATGTTCTCTACTGAGCAAGTAACTCTCCTCTCTCTCAATTTCTCTAAATGAAAATTTCATTTCACGATCACGATCATCCTGTTGTTCGTCTATTGCCTCGAGCAGGCACCAGTAACGTCTCTTTCGCCCTAGCCCTGAGATTTTAAAAAGTGCGATATTCAAGGTTCTTTCAGGGTTAGGAGAATGAGACCCATCGTTGGGTCTTTGGCCATCATTACTGGTATTTGGCATATTGGGTACACCACGGGGAGTTTGCCAGACTCTGCCGTGTGGGCCGGTTACATTCAGTAGCCTGCCAGGTTGTCCAAAGTAAAAATAACATAATTCGCGGCCTTGTGCTTCTGGGAGCTGGGTTTTATAGTGTATCTGGTCCCACTCCCACCACCCTGCACCGAAAGAAAAACAGGAAATCATGGAGAATTCTGAACACTTTCATTAATCTCTCAGTAATCCCTTAACATGCCAATAACTCTAAAGTCATGTATTCCATTGATTACTTTATTCAGAAAATAAAACAACAAATAAGAAAGAAACAAAAATCCTGGTTATTTGCAGTATCTGTCAGCTTTCAATTTGGCTCTCCTGTTGAGTAAAGATGGACAATAAAATTAATCCATGTGAAACATGTCATATAAAGTCAACTGCTACTGAATATACATACTTAATGGTCATTGAATTCTCAATTCTGGTTATAATAGCAGTCATACTAAAATATTTTCAAGTTTTACTTCTCAATTTTATGTTTCCCATTTAGATTCTATTCTTATGAAAGTCTTTCCCTAGTATTTAACCAATGTGCACAGGGCACTTTCAATCTATAACAGCAAGTTTAATTACATCTGAAATTAAGCCTGCCCTAAATTTTCTCTTCAACTGGATAGCAATGTGTAATTTTCATAGGTGATAAAAGTTGTGAGCTGAAGACCTTATTCTATTTGAGTTCACTTTTAGATTATATCTTATATCCCACTAAAAAATTTATAATATGGTCAACTGAGAAAAAACATCACTTTTTTTGTCTTCATTTAATCGATTTGCTCGAGCGGGAATAACCTGATCAATTAGGTAATAGAAAACTTGACTAAGTACTGCCTTTATCAAGGAATGTACATACATGCAAATGGAAAGCTAAAATAAAAGAGCAGAGATGGCCATATTTGCATCAGCATGTAATCTAAAGGAAGTGTAAGAGATAGAGATGGTCATAACATACTAGTTAAGGGAATAATAAATCAGGAGGACTTAAATATTATTAACATTTATACACCAAAGAAAGGGGAGTCAAAGTTCACAAATTAACTGCTAATAGGCCTGAGGAAATATATCAGAGCAACACAATAATAGTGGGAGACTTTAACCCCCATGTAAATAAAGATTTTAATACTAATTTTGCAACACAGGATTTGAATGAATGGGAGATTGCCAAATTCTCTTTCAATCTGACACTTAACCTAGATCACAGCTGGAAAACTCACAACTTAAGTATCTCTAACCCATTTTTTAAAATGTTATAAATCTAGGATGAAAATTACCTTGGCTTTATAAAATATTATATATTGTGATGATATTCTGTTCACTTCTGAATCTAACTTTATAAGTGTTTCAATCTAGTTAGCTTCTATATACATTTAAATTGGTCTATTTTATCATCTTATAAATAATCTGTAGCACTGGATTGCGGTAAAAGAACCTACTTGGTTACATTCTATTAGAACTAACCTAAGTCAACTAGATATAAAAATAAGATAAAAATTAGTTTCAGTTAAACCTGACTTTCTTGAAGTAAGAATAAAGAATAGAATCTGGCTGGCGATGAGTTTATTTTTTATTTATTTATTTATTTTTGTCATACCCAGCAATATTCAAGGGTTACTCCTGGCTTTGCACTCAGGAATTACTCCTGGAAGTGCTCGGGGGACCACACGGGGGGGATCAAACTCAGGCTGGCTGCATGCAAAGCAAATGCCCAATCCACTGTATTATCGCTCCAGCCCCCCTGGGTTTATTTTTTAAAAAATATTATTTCTTGGCAATCTTTTTGCAAACTTTAATGCCTGTTAATAATAACATTACTGGGGCTGGAGAGAATACAGCAGGTAGAGTGTTTGCCTTGCATGTGACCGACCAGGGTTGGATCTCCGGCCTCCCACATTATCCCCAGAGCAATGCAAGGAGTTAATTTCTGAGTGCAAAGCCAGAACTAGTCCCCCCTCCCCCATCCAGCACTGCCAGGTGTGTGTGGCCCAAAAACCAAAACCAAACCAGAACAAAAAAACCCCAAAACAACCCCTCCCCTGACGCCCATAAAAATAACATGACCATATCACAAATTAGGAACGGTGGCACCCATTTAAAAACTATAATAATTAAAGAATATACTAGTTTTACACAATGCTTCTATGGCTACTGAAAATAACTGAAATAGTAAAATAATACCAACCTGTCCAGAAGTGTTTCATGCAAAAATCCATCTTTCCGGGCCTTTTTAAGTATTTTACTATCTTCTTTACTTATTTTAAGTTTATGATCTTGGAAGCTCTGAAATTTCTTTCTGTTAATAAAATATATTTTGTCAAAAAAGAAATCAAATTCTGGTTATACCTGTTTACTGATAACCTTACTGTAGGATGACACTGGTTTGCTGTTTCTCCCTGGCTGCAGAGTTTAGGTTTATTGGGTTACACCATTCACAGTGCTTCTGAAGCACCCCCATTTTCTTTAAGCATTCCCAGTCATCTTTAATTTCTTTGTACTTCTTTCCCAACTGGTTAATCACTCATTTACCCTAAGCCGTACCTGTCACTTGATTCCTCAGCGCTCTATGATTATGTATTTATAAGTGAAATATTGCTTTTCTCCTTCCCTTATGTTCTTTTGCATAGTTTACTCCAGAGCAATGTCTTTTTTGTATAGACACAGGAAGACAGTTAATGCTATGCTTTTGTAACTTGGGAGTTAATTGACTCCGAATAAAATTCACTTCTGGGCATCTGTTCTCTCGACTTAAGCCTCAGTTGCCCTTAGTTTCTAGTAACCCAAAAGCAGTGTTCCGACGAGGGACTGGATGGATCCAGGGCAAGCTGCAAGCTACCCTAGCATCAAATCGGGCCAGGCCAAGTGCCATAATACTTAACTATAAGTTAGGAGCAAAGTCATGGACAAATTCTGTCGTGATCCAAACAGTAACAACTGGATCAGGACCCTCTAGGGTTAGGAAAGACTAATCTGGCCTGAGTACTTTAGTCTGGGATCTATAGTGAAATGTCCCCAGGAGAACCACTCTACAAGCTTAATTTATCTGTGTCCATACAAAATGACTAGAAAGTAATCTAAGATGGATGTGGCACTAAGGAAAGGAGAAACACAACACTAGATGGTATTTCGCCCTTGAGCAATCTAATCTATTTGCAGGAGATCTTTGTCTTATCTTAGAAAAGCTTCCCTCAGAAGGAAAGGCTTTCATATGTTTGATTGCATGTACCTGACCTAGGCGTTGCTAGGTTGCTATCACCAATGCTTGGAGATTGGGCACTAGACCAAGGTGGTGAGATGGAGGGCGGAGAGACTAACATGGGGGACTGGAGGAGACAGTAATGAGGGGCAGTGTGAGATTGGAACAGGCGTGTGGGGAGAATGGGATAAAATGGCAACTGATCAACCAGCCTGACAGCCCTGTTTCCTCCTTCATGCATCTGTTGGCAGTAGCTGCAAGCCTGCCTGGGGAAGAGGCTCACGGCCACCCAATGCATGTGGCAGGCGAGAGAGACCCCGCTGCTGTCGTTCACTTATTTTGGGCTTACACACCTTACATAAGGGGTTTACACACCTTATGTATTTCCCTAATAACCTACAGGTTTTCAACTATAAATCTGAACTTATTCGTGGCTGAGCGACATCTCAAACTACACCACTGATATACCAGGAGTAGCACACCACACTGGATGGGATATAAAGTAGAAGATAACCAATCTGATTAAGAAAATATTAACACAAAAGGCTTAACCTGTAAGAACATGTTAGTAATCTTTTATACAAGGCTTAATGGCTCCAGGGTGAAATACAATTTTCACATACTTTCTTCTAAGAAAATCTTTTTTGATCATTTTTACTGAATCATTCATAACAAGCAATATAAAATAAATTATTTAGGGCCTGCTATTGGGGCAGGCTTGGGCTGTGGTTGGGAAAATTGGAAACAATGGTGGTGGGATTGGTGTTGGAATATTGAATGTATTGTGAACAACTTTATAAAAATAAAATTAAAAAAAAAGAGATGAGTTTAGTGTTCTACCATCATTTAAAAAAAAAGTAGTTATTTTAATTGCTCTCAAAAGTCTCACTTCTGCCAGAAAATGTTGATTGAAGTCCATTTTCTCCTATGAAAATTTGGTTGACATCATGTACTGGCAAGTTAAGCCACATTCCATTAACGAACTGGGGGAATTAGGAAACTCAAGTTTTAAAAAAGGAAAACATTTAGCCCAATTCTTTGTCATAAAGTCTGTCAACACTGTAACACTGTTCAGCTAGGGGTCATGGGTTCTTTTATGGGCCCCTGGAATTTTCCAAGGGGCAGCAGGTAAAACTGGGGGGCTACCTCCTGAGAACTATAGGCAGATCTATAGGCAAAGGAAAGGACACGTACACATAGTTGATTTCACATTGCTTAACATTTCCTTTGTCTTCTTCAGGAATGTCATCTTTTTTCTTAATTTCTCTTTCAGCACAGGATCTAATCTGTATGTTGGAAATGAAAGCATAAAGGTTACACATCTATCTTCTCCCTTCCCCACCTTTACGTAAGAAAATTCTAGGTAATTTCCCTTGTTTGAAGGAGGGTATGAGTGTGTGTGTGCGCGCGCGTGCGTGTTGTTTGGTGGGAAAAGTGGTGCGCAGGGTGCTCAGAGTGACCAGGGGCCTCTCTCCCACTGAGTCTTGGTGAATCAGGCTGATGGTTCAGTGATAGCGTGAGGCGGCCCTGCTACTCTGGCCCAGGGATGGTGGTTACCCAGGCCACCTGGCACTGCTCAGGGCCATACAGGCAATGCTGGGGGTGGGGGCTCCAACACTACATGCGTGCCAAGGCACTGAACTTTAGAAGCTTTCCTATGATGTCTCTCTCCTTACACAGTAACTAGTGCTTAAATATTATACTCAAAACAACCTAGTATAATGTAGTCCCATTTGTTTATCTTTGCTTCCACTTGCTTGGTCAGTGTTTTATTTTTTTTAACTATAAAGATGTCTTTAGCTTCAATGTCATGGAAAGTCTGCCTACATTTTTTCTCTGTGTACCTTATGATTTCAGGCCTGCTACTAAGGCTTTTAATTCATTTTGATCTGACTTTTGAGCCTGACATTCGAGAGAGATCTGAGTTCTTTTTTTTTTTTTTGGCATGTAGGTGTCCAGTTTTCCCAGCATCACCTGTTGAAGAAGCTTTCCTTTCTCCACTTCACATTTCTTACTCCTTTATCAAAGATTAAGTGGTCATATAGTTGAGTATCTGAGTCAAGATATTCAACTCTATTCCACTGGTCTGAGGGTCTCTATTCCAATACCATGCTGTTTTAATTACTACTGCTTTGTAGTACAGTTTGAAGTTGGGGAAGTTGATGCCCGCCATCTTCTTTTTCCCAAGGATTGCTTTAGCTAGTTGTGGAGGTTTATTGTTCCACATGAATTTACGGAATGTTTTATCTATTTCTTTAAAAAATGGCATGGATATCTTTATAGGGACTACGTTGAATCTGTATAATGCTTTGGGGAGTATTGCCATTTTGACAATGTTCATCTTCCTGATCCATGAGCAGGGGATATATCTCCTTTTCCTGTAACCTCTTTCATTTCTTGAAGTAGTGTTTTGTATTTTTTTTTTTTTTTTGGGTGCAGATCCTTCACCTCTTTAGTTGATTCTGAGTACTTGATTTTCTAAGGAACAATTATGAATGAGATTTTTTAAAAAAAATATCTTTTTCTTCTCTTTCATTATTTGTACATATAGGAAAGTATGGACCTTTGGTAATTGATTTTTGTAGCCTGCCACTTTACTATACAAACCTATAGTTCCAAGGAGCTTTTCGGTAGAGTCTTTAGGATAGTATCAAGTCATCTGCAAATACTGATAGCTTGATTTCTTCCTTTCCCATCTGGATGCCCTTGATATCTTTTCCTTGCCTAACTGCTATGGCAAGTACATAAAGCTAATAAGCTTCTGCACCTCAAAAGAAATGGTGACCAAGATACAGATATATCCCATGGAATGGGAAAAATTATTTAGCCAATACTCATCAGATAAGGAGTTAATATCTAAGATATATAAGACACTGGTAGATATTCACACACACACAAAAAATTCAACCCCATCAAAAAATGGGGAGAAGAAATAAACAGAAACTTTCCTAAAGAAGAAATAAAAATAGGCAAAAGGTACATAAAAAAATACTCTATGTTACTAATCATCAGGGAGATGTAAATCAAAACAACAATGAGATATCATCTCATACCACAGAGACTGGCACATAACAAAAAGAACAAAAACAAGAATTCAACCATTGCTGGCACAGATGAGGGGGGATCGGGACTCTTCCTTCGTTATTAGTGGGAACACCAACCGGCACAGCCCTTCTGGAAAATAATACTGACATCCCTCATAAAACTAGAATTGAGCTTCCATCTGACCCAGCAATATATCCTGGGGGTGCAAAAACAAACAGCAGAAATGCCATCTGCATGTCTATGTTCATTGCAGCACTATTTACAGCAGCCAGAACCTGAAACAACATGAGTACCTGAGAATAGACGCCTGGATAAGGAAACTATGGTACATCTACACAATAAATACTATGCAGCTATTAGGAAAAATGAATGCATGAAATTCACTCATAAATGGATGGACATGGAGAATATCACGCTTAGTGAAACAGTCAGAAGGAGTCAGAAGGAGAGGGACAGACATAGAATGATTGCACTCATTTGTGGGACATAAAAAAACATAGTATGAGACTGATAACCATGGACAGTAGGAACAAGGGACAGGAGGATTAGTCCATGGTTGGAAGCCTGTCTCAGGTGCTAGAGAGAAGGCAGCTGGGATAGAAAAAAAAAAAAACAGTATGGCAATGATAGTTGGAAATGATCTTTTTGGATAAGTACTGTGTGCTGAAAGTAGGTAAATGAACAAACATGATAACCTCTCAGTATCTGTATTGCAAACCATACCACCCAAAAGGGAGGGAGAGAGAAAGGGAGAGAGGAAGACAGAAAGAAAGAGGGAGGGAGGGAGGGAAAGAGAGAGGGAGGGAGGGAGAGAGCACTTGCCATACTGCCACAGATTCAGGCTGGGGGGTGGGGCGGTGGCTGGAGGGAAACTAGGGACATTGGTGGTGGGAAATGTGCACTGGTAGAGGGATGGGTGTTGGAATACTGTATGGCTGAAATCCAACCATGAACAGCTTTGCAGCTGTGTATCTCATGTTGATTTATTATTATTATTATTATTATTATTATTATTTTGCTTTTTGGGTCATACCCAGCAATGCACAGGTGTTACTCCTGGCTCTGCACTCAGGAATTACTCCTGGCAGTGCTCAGGGGACCATATGGGACATTGGGAATTGAACCCGGGTCGACCATGTGCAAGGCAAACGTCCTACCCACTGTGCTATTGCTCCAGCCCTTCTCATGTTGATTTAATTAAAAAGAAAGAAAGAAAGGAAAGAAAAAGGCAAGAGAAAACTCTGTATATTTATTGATAAGGAAAAAAATCTCCAAGATAGAATATTAAGGAGATAAATCAAGGTCTAAGAGTATTTAAAGGAGGCCAATTTTAGTATTAAAATTACATACATTTATATATTTATAAACTCCAGAAGGCTAAGAAAGCACAAGGAGTTGTGCTTTTACATGCATATATGTTTTTTAAGAAACTTAAAATGTAAAACCACCAAAAAAAATTTCTAAAGGAAGAAAAAAAAGGAAGGAAAATACAGAACTCAAAACATGTGAAATTATTCAGAAAACGATACTTATACATGGAGATAAGAGGTATCACTTGCATGCAGCTAACCTGGGTTCAATCTCTGAGTCCTGCCAGGAATGATCCCTGAGGTCAGAGAGGAGTGAGCACAGCTGGATGTGGCACACAAACAAACAAACAAACAAAAAATAAGTAGCTCTTTAGGAATTCTCTGCATGTGGTACAAACTAGCCATTAATTATGGGATCTACTAAAAAATAAGCTTATGCAGAATACAGAATAAAAAGCTAGTAATGAGATAATCTTCAAAGTGAGATAAATGACTAGTCAATATTTTACAGAGATGTCATCAGCTTACACATGTGACATGTATTAGTGTAGAGAAAAATGTCCCTGTTGTTACCTTTATCATTTCTTCTTCTCCAGCTGTTTTACTTTTTGCTTCTATGTCTCCTGCTTCATTGCATCTAATAAAACAGCTATTTGAGGCCAGTAAAGCCATCTTCCCCTAAATAAAATGAAGTAACAACAAAACACATGAGATTCTGCAAAAGAATTCTTCAGTCTTGAGACTAAATGAATTTTCCATCTGATTCTAAAAATAAACATGAAAAAAGAATTTGGAGAAAACCTGAAAAATAAAAAATTCAGAAAAGAAAAACAAGATCCCCTATAGTCTGATTCAAGAGATAACCATCACAATAAGTTATTTTAGTATGTCCAGAGTACTAAACTCTAAGTGAAACAGAACTGTTCCCTTTGGCTAAGAGTATGACACAGGGGTCAGGGGTCGATCAAGGATCTCTGAGCACTGCAGGATGTGTCCTTGAAGGGTTCTGAGTGTTACTGGGATGTTCCAGGCATAGCACTGAATGGCCTAACACAGCTGGGAAATATCACTGGGAGTGACACCCGAGCATCTGGGAGGCACCCTCCTCCTCCACAGAAATAATCCCAAATATCTACTGAAGATAGAACTTAGCTCAGTTTGAAAAGCTTAATTTAAAATTAAAAAAAAAGTAATGTACAATAATTCACCCAGAGAGTTGCATTTTAAGCAAAAATCTTTATAATTAGAAGAATATAAAATTATATCATATATATATATATATATGTGAGTTTCGCTGCCTTTGAATTTAATGCTCCGAATCAATGCTTGAAGGACTCTGTTGGTAAAAACAAATACATCCTTTCATGCTGCTTACTGGCCAAGAGAGCATAATGATTCTAATTAACAAAGCTTTAAAAACGAACTTTCATGTATGTCTAAACCTGGATGAATCACCTGAAGTCTCTGTACTTTTTAAAATAAATACCCATCATTACAAAATATATTGAAAAATATATTTATAAAAGTACTAATAACATGGATTTGGTTGCAATGTTTTTTTCTCTTTTGTTGGGGTGAGGTGGGGGCGTCCTAAACAGTGCTCAGGAGACCAGAGGCTCTCCCTTAAGATTCCTGGACCACCAAACCTGTGGTTCAATGTGAGGGTCTGAGCATGTGGTGTTGCTTGGGCTCTTTGGTTCCTAGCCCAGTGGTGCTTGGTGGTCGATGTAGCACGTGGGATACAACTGGCTCGACTGAATGCAATGCCTTTGCTTTAACCCCTGTACCATCTTCGGTCCCCGAATCATTTCTGATTAGAAGTATCAGGGGCTGGGTTTTCTATCATCTGGATGACTTTCAGTGACATTGGAAACAACTATCTGGCCAAGGTGATTCAAGCATGTGCTGCTGGATCTTTTTGCTGAGTGTCTTTTTGCAGAAAGTGCCAACAGGGATTTTAACTCGCTATATCATTACATTTAAACTTATATAACTTAGTCTCTCCAAAATCAATGAAGTCAACTTTCCTAATGTTCTCTCATCATCCTGGCTGTATAACACATTGTCCTTTCCTGCTGGTATAATTATTCGTAGTAGGATCATCTAAAAGGGGTTAAGAAGGTGAGTAAAATGACCATGGGTAAAGCTACTGATTTCTGGGTCTATTTAGAATGTATGTTCTTATTGACTATTAAACAGTCTTTACTCTTACATTGGCAAGAAACAACAGCACTTACATCTTGAAAGACTGGCTCCCACTGCTCTCTTGGTCCAATTGCATCCGAACGCCCGACGACTAGTCCATCTGAATTTATACCAAGGTATTTCCCGTAGCCAGATTTCAGAGCAATTCTTCAGAAAGAGATATGTTAAAAAACTAACATATAACATCCAATTTTATTGTTCAAAAGCTAGTGGCTAGTTTTTTTGGCAGTATAATCCTCTACATACGACTTTGTATTTTTTTTTATGGGGGGGGTGGGTGGGAGATTACATATGCTGGTGCTAGGAGGCTACTCCTGGCTCAGCGCTGTGGGTCTGCTCCCTGCAGTGCTCAGGTGACCCTGCGGTGCCTGGGAAGCATATGCAGTCCTTAACTTCCTGGTTCCTATATTCTGCTTTTCATTATAGACACCATCATATAGTATCTTACATCTTCCAAATTATTCTTCAAACATACTACTTTCAGTGATTATATAATATTCTATCACAGACATATTAACACTTTTATGCCAGAAATAGTTCTGTTGGTATTTCTTCTGTTCACTTCTTCTGTTCATTTCTTCTGAACTACCAGGAAGAGTCATAGGAGAGAAATAATCAAACAAAAGATCATCAACTTTAAAGCTCTTATTACGAGCTGGTGAAAGTTCCAGAAAAAATTGTAACAATTTAGTTTAATTACTCAAATTAGGTAACAATCCCCACCCCCCAACCCTGGCCTCTTAGGTCTGCTGACATGCCTTAAAAAAGAAAAAAATTAAAAAAACGAGATATGGGAAAGCAGCACCCTACTAAATTTTCACTTTATTATTGTGCATGACATTTACACTTTATTTATTTGCTTTTTGGGTCACATCTGGTGATACACAGGGGTTACTCCTGGCTCCGCACCCAGGAGTTACTCCTGGCGGTGCTCAGGGAACCATATGGGATGCTGGGAATCGAACCTGGGTTGGCAGCGTGCAAGGAAAACGCCCTACCCGCTGTGCTATCTCTCCAGTCCCTTCTTTTTAGTTTTAAAAGTACTTTTTGTCCACGTGGGGTCTTCTTGTTTCTCTAAGTGTTCTAAGTATTTTGAATCCTATACAACACAAGGAGAATGGAAACTTACTATTGCAGCTGCTGCAAATATTTTCAGCTATTAATTTTGCTTATAACATTTTTGGGCTTTCAATAGTAAAGAAGTTTATGTCCTTTATTACCCCAGCTTTTATTCTTTAAAAGTCTCACACACTGAAGACAGGTAGTAGAGCCTAGAAAAGCTAACACAACGAACAAAATACTTTTGTAGACTTTAATACTGCATTATACTATTTTAAGTTCTGCACAAAAATAAATAAATCTCTTTACTATACCTATTAGTAAAAGTATGGAAATCATCATAAGGTTATTTTTTAAGAAAAAAAACCCATGAATATTTAGCTTACCAATTACCAGTGCTACCAGAATTGGTTTTAAACATACAAATCATTATTATGTTGAGGTAACTGACTGCCAGCATTCTGAAATTCAATTTCTGTATCTGTCACCAAAATTATCAGTCTATACTTTGTTTTTTTGGGCCACAATCGGTGATGTTCAGGGATCACTCCTGGCTCTGCACTCAGGTATTACTCCCAGAGGAGCTCGGGGGACCAAATGGGATGCTGGAGAATGAATCCCGGTTGGCGCGTGCCAGGCAAGTGCCTTACCCACTGTATGATCACTTTAGCTTCCAGTCTTTACTTTTTTCATTGTAAGAATAACCTGGAGTGACAGTATAGTGGCTAGGATATTTGCCTTGCATGTGGTTGACCTGGGTTTGATACCATCATCCCACAGAGTCCCCCATGAGTAATTCCTGCCTGGAGTGATCCCTGAACGCCGCTGTGTATCGCCCCAACCCTCCACCCCCCGCCAAAAAAAAAAAAAACCAAACAAACCAAAAGACATGAGTAAACTACTCTTTTGCTCTCTATGATAATGGAATATTCCTGGTTTCAAAAATGATCTTTTATATTGATCTTGAATCCTAATCAGTGTGATTCTATGTTATAGAACATTAGATCAGGTTTTGTGTTATATGTTTTCTTCATGTCATCTTAGTTGATCTGTAACATTATTAGCCTTCGTTTTTCTTCCCTAGCATTGTATACTGACAATATATGTTTTGATTAGATGTTTGAATCCCCTTTAAAGATTCATTTGTTGCTAATGTAATTTAATACATGAATTTCTATAGGATAAATATTTTTAAGATGTCTCTTTTTCGGGGCTGGATAGATAGCACAGCGGGTAGGGCATTTGCCTTGCACGTGGCCAACCTGGGTTCGATTCCCAGCAACTCATATGGTCCCCTGAGCACCGCCAGGAGTAACACCTAAGTGCAGAGCCAGGAGGAACCCCTGTGCATCGCTGGGTGTGACCCAAAAAGCAATACAAAAAAAAACAAAGTCTCTTTTTCAAAATAAATTATTTTGTCTTTTGAATCAGATTTATTTTGTGAGTACAAGGAAAAATTTCAGTGAATTAAATTAAAAAACAAAAATTATTAATTTTCACTCAACTCAAGCTTACCTGGAATCAGACAATTTGACAGCTGTAAACTGCTCTGGAGGACTTGGGCCCTCATCAACTGCGGAAGAAAAAAACTCGAAATAAATTTGGCACTTTTTACAAATATATGTATAAAGGTTAACATTTGACTTTAAAAAGTTATTTTTTCCTTCTACAATTAAATATAGGAGAATTTTATGATAATCTGATAAAACTGTAGCACAGTGGGCCAGAGAACTCAACAGGCTGAGCACACACTCTGCTGCAATGCAGGAAGCCCAGGGTCACACCACATGGTTCCCCAGCACGACTGGGACCAAGCCCAGCTTGGTCAAGCTGGGAATAGTCCCTCAGCACTGCTGGGTATGGCCCAAACAATGAGACAAAAACTGTAGCTTAGAGCTGGAGAGAGAGCGCAGCGAGAAAGGAACTTGCCCTGAGCTCAGTCGACTCGGGTTTGATCCCTGGCACCTCATATGGTTTTCCTAAAAGCAATGTCAGCAGTGAACCTGAGCACGGAACTGGGAGTAAGCTTTGAGCACCACTTATTCTTACACTGAGTCCTCCACACTCCCCAAATAGAAAGCACAGACAAATAAGCACTAATAACTATTTTATAAAGCTAAAATGTTTAATTTAAAAAGCAGACTTTTATATCAAATGATACTATTTCTTTGGGCTGGAGCGATAGCACAACGGGTAGGGCAATTGCCTTGCAAGCGGCCAACATGGCCGATCCGAGTTCGATTCCTCCGCCCCTCTCGGAGAGCCTGGCAAGTTACCGAGAGGATGTCGCCCACATGACAAAATCTGGCAAGCTACCCGTGACGTATTCGATATGCCAGACACAGTAGCAACAAAGTCTCACACTGGGGACATTACTGGGCCCACTAGAGAAAATCGATGAACAATGGGAGGACTGTGACCGTGACAGTGATACTATTTCTTTATCTTCTAATTATTTCTATACAGGGAGTGCTTCCTCTGGTGGGCTCAAAGCCAGTGAGAAAACTTCAAATCAATAACTATGTTTCAGCGAGTTAAAGGGCAGACGAGTACTTCAAATCTGTGACCCTACCAGGTTTTGTCTTTCCAATTATTATTTCAATTCATTTTGTTTCATTCTTGACTCTCTGGAACTATAGAAAGTATTTTCAAATACTTACAGTGGAAAGAGTCGGCAATACTGGCAAGTATTAAGGATGGACAGAAAAGCAGAATTGTTGAATGCTTTTAGATTATACGTGTCTAGCCAGAAACTGGCCTAAGTGAATGTCATAAAATACATATTTTAAGTAGCATTCCCCGCCCTTTCCAGACACAAACCTTCTTTATGCGGAGCTCCAAGTGTAAAAAGTCCATTGTCAAGTGCATGTATGTAGGCTCCTTTATCCATTTCAATCGCTATTGTTCCTGAGATTTCACCGAAGTTTGTTACTTTCCACCAGATTCCTAAAAATACAATTATTATTTTACACAAGGCTCTTTGTTTCTTTGTTTTGTTTTTGGGCCACGCCGGTGGTGCTCAGGGCTTTCTCCTGGCTGTGCCCAGGGACCATTTCTTCCAGGACTTGTGGGACCGTAAGTGGTGTGGGACGAACCTGAGTTGGCCACGTACAAAGGCAAGTCCCTTACCCACTCCTTTACCACTTGGCCCCTACACAAGGTTCTTATATTGATATTGTTTTAAATCTTTAAAATGCTGAAGCTAGGGAGATGGTTCAAAGGGCTGGAGTATATAATTTGCAAGCAGGAGGTTGGGGTTCAATTCTCAGTACCCTATGGTTTCCCTCAAGCACCACAGGGAGTGGCCCGATAACCAAAAAAAAAAAAAAAAAAAAACCAAACGAAAACCCTCCAAACAAACAAACAAAATTACCAGTAATTTCAAAACTTTTAAATTTTATAACTCTAAGCAATAATATAGCAAGATCTCACATATACTTTACTCAGTTTCCTCCAATTGTATTTATTATCTTGTATAACTATAGTTATACAAATATCAAAACTAGGGAATTATCAAAACTAGGGAACTGACCCAGATACAGTTCATGAACCTCAGTTAGATTTCATGAGTTACAACGCACTCATCTGTGTACTGGTATGTGTGTATGCAGATAAAGGAGACTACTACCAGTAAGATTAGGAAAGAAGAGACAGGAGACCGGAAGGAGGTTGTAAGAGATTGGGAGGTTGAGGGAAGAAGCGAGACATTGGAAGGAAAGATATTTAGGGAGGGAGGAAAGATAGAAGAGAGAAAGAGAGTCCCATAAAGTAAAGGAACAAACTGGGATGTGGGCGACTTCACAATGGAGTGCACCAAGATTAGGATGTTTTTGTTTTGTTTTTGCAGGTGGTACACACCCCAGGGGTTACTCCTGGCTATGCACTCGGGAATTATTCCTGGTGGTGCCCGGGGGACCATCTGGGATGCCGGGAATTGAACGCGTGCAAAGCAAGTGTCCTACCCTTTGTATTACAACTCCAGTCCCAAGACAGGTTCTTTTAAAAATATAAAATAGCAATACATGTGAAGGTATAAAATGACTATATATAGGGTCTCATTCCAGCCCCTAGCCATCCATGACTGCTTTCAGAAATCCTTTCCAGTATCATATTCTTAATTACAATTTCAGATTAGAGACAAATGAGTAAAAGTATGTCTGTGTGTACCAATATAGTTCACCAATAGAAATGTAAATCTTTAGGATCTGAAAATTTAAACAGCTATTGCAAAAGCAAACATTTTTTTTTTAATGAAAAAAAGGTATCGCAACCTTCTCCTAAATTGTACTGTAGCTACAATAAAATGTGCTTCCATGATTAATGACTACAAGAACAATCATAGTTCTTGCCAGTCATTCTGCGTTTTGCCTGTAAAAGAAGCAGAGAAGCTCCTGGAGCGATAGCACAGCAGGTAGCGCCTTTGCCTTGTATGTGGCCAACCCGGGTTTGATTCCCAGCATCCCATATGGTCCTCTGAGCACTGCCAGGAGTTATCCCTGAGTGCAGAGCCAGGAGTAACCCCTGTGCACTGCTGGATGTGACCCAAAAAGAAAGAAAGGAAAAAAGAAGCTGTGAAGACTGAGGAAAGTGGAAACTGAGGTTGCTGACTTCTACTTCAGATTAGGGCTCAAGCTATGTTTATCAGGTTGCAGACGAAGCCCAATTTGACAATATATTCTAAATCAGTATTTGGTATTTTAAAAAACAAAATGCAGCTGTCCTTCTCCAGGCCCTTTGCAGACTGTTAGGTATTTCTGCTATGAAGCGTGAGAGACAAGATCTATTTTACCTTCTCAGGTCTGACAGAGAGAAGGTAGTAAAGACATGTTAAAAATATTGAATGATAAGTGTCCTAGTTGATAAAAGACTGCGATGGTACCCACTCTTTCTATTATTAAGGCTATTGCAGATACTGAAGACGGCAGAAGGACCTGTATTTTGAAAGGCCTTCGTGCTTAGTCATCCCCGAGTACTACCTACAGCTTCCTATGGATGTGTACACACCCATCATCTGGGAGGTGACAGAGATAAGATTCTGTGTGTGTGGTTTACCTCACTCCTGACTGACCCAACTCAAAGTCTCTGTGTTAAAGGAGCCCTTAAATGTTTGGACTGTCAAAGCAACCATATATCTCTGCTTTGGAAATGGAGCTTTCTCTCTCTACAGTTCTACAGTCTTTTCTGGGTGGGGGAAGGTGGGGAGTGGGAGGAAGGCGGGCATACTCGCTGGGGCTCAGGTCTTAGTCCTGGCTCTGAATTTAGGACGTGGGAGACTATAAGGGGTGCCAGGTATTGAGTCTGGGTCAGCTGGTTGCAAGGCAAGCACCCTACCTGCTGTACTATTTTGCCAGCCCACTGTTCTATAATCTTAAAGTCCTGCGGTAAGCTGACACAAAACTGACTTAACTTTAATTCCTGGGAAACGGAAGTACAGAAGAATTTCACAAATTACACTATTATCAATTCAGGTACTTTGAAAAAGAGCAGAGTTCACGGAGGGTATTTTTCTTCTTCTATTTTTTTTTTTTTTTTGCTTTTTGGGTCACACCCGGTGATACACAGGGGTTACTCCTGGTTCTGCACTGAGGAATGACTCCTGGGTCCCCTATTGCTCAGGGGACCATATGAGATGCCGGGAATCGAACATGGGTCAGCCATGCGCGAGGCATGTGCCCTACCCGCTGTGCTGTTGCTCCCGTTCCTGAGGATTATTTTCTTACACAGCCACTTTGTGTTACTATTGCCCAGACTTGGTATTTCCCACGCCAAAGGAACAATTTCCTTCATTCTATTTACCAATTTACTTAGGCTTAGAGTTTCCCTTAAGATCCTTGTAGGAAATGATCAAAACAGCTTTAAAAAACTTAAAAGCCCCCACCCCTTCTGCTTCCCACTGCTGAAACAAGTACGGGGAAAGTGGAATATAAAAGAAAGTGGGAGGACAAGGAGGGAAGAGAAATGTTCTCTTCTACCCAAGGCAGAGGAATCCTTCCTGGACCTGCCTTCCACCATGATCAGGAAGCAGGTCAGAACATACGAGAAAAATGATGTCAGGTGTTTGGAAGTTTTCTCCATGGCAGATGGAGCTCAGGAAGAGAAAGGCAATCTCAGTTAGCCGACTGACTTGAAGTGCAGAAGTGAGATGAATTCAGAGTCAGGTGCTGAGAAGGAACTCAGAGAGGCAAGATCCACAGGTTTCACTGTGTGACAGTGGCTGAGAGCTGATGGGAGTACCGAGAATCTGAAATACTGGGAGACACTGGAGTGGTGAGGGCTCTTTGGGTGAGCCACCTGGGCATGAGGGCGGCCTCCTAGAGGCCGGGTCACGCTCTAGGTCCCAGGGAAAACAGGTCTAACAAGAAAAGGCAAAAAACAAACCAAAAAAAATCTAGTCTGATAGCATGAAAAGTCAAATCTTAACTAGACTTCATTTCAAGGTAATGACTATTAGATGAATATTTTATTGAGCTATACAGAAAGAAATCGAACTCAGGTCAGCCGTGTGGGCCTCGTGCAAGGCAAATGCCTTTCTCGCTGTGCCAAACACAGTAACAACAAGTCTCACGATGGAGACATTACTGGGCCTGCTCGAGCAAATTAATGAACAGTGGGAGGACAGTCCTATACAGAAAACTGAAAAACCGACGGAACAGACAGTACAGAAATAATAGATCAACAAACATAAAATCAACAGACCATTAACTAAGATATTAAAGCAGCTTAACAAGGAGAGGAAGTTCAACTCACGTGCTGGGGAACAGCTCAGTGGCAGAGTGCCTGCCTTACAGCCTAGAGGCTGAGAATCTGATCGCCGGCATTACCCCACATGCTAAGAGTGCCCTTGGCAGCACTGGTGAGTCCCAGAGCCTCAAAAAAGTGTGTGCAACCATAGGGGTACTGCAACTGACGTGATTGAACATTGTGACCAGGTGTGCGAAGTTAATCTGAGATGGATCTAATGCAAAAATAAAAGCAGTAAAGCTTCCAGTAATTACAATGGGTCTCATTCCCCTGACCCTGAAGGCGTCACCAATATGGCAGCATTGAGAAGGATGAGGAAGGAGAGGCTGATAAAATCTCAAGGCCGAACTAGGCTGCCAAAATGAAGGAAGACAAAAATGATTGTCTGTACTTTCAATGAATGTACACTAGCATTAGATGCATCCATTGAGGACCTGATGGTACAAGCGTGAAAGATCAAGTTCGACATCATTGGTCTGACCGAGAAAAGAAGGCATCAATCACATCACGCCATTTTTGACACTGGAGAAGAACTGTTCCTCAGAACATGCGATAAAAGAGATGTTGGAGGCGTCGGTGTCCTTGTCAACACGAACTTGGACATAAGCATTGATTTATTCGAATGACTAACAACCCAAATCAGACGATTACACTTGAATAGATGTGGTTCATTGCCGGCAGTTTCTATCTTCGTTGTCTATGCACCAACATCCAATTATGATGAAGGAGAAATTGAGATGTTCTACATGGAGCTGGAGATGTTCTATAAAGAAGACCACACCTTCTACAAGATCATTGTCGGTGATTTTAATGCCAAGATAGGACTGAGAAGATCAGCCGAAGAACTCGACAGACTGTCTGAGTTCATCATTTTGACCAAGACCATCCATGGTAACTCACAGTTCCAGAAGGCCGAATCTAAACATTGGACATGGGAGTCTCCCGGTGGACGGTTCCACAACAAAACTGACCACATCATATTCAACTGATGGTTTTGCCTGACGGATGTCGCTGTTGTCTCAAAATTCCAAACGAGATCGAACCACCGTGTCCTTCGTGCAAAATTCTACTTCACAAAGCGGGGAGAAAGGGCTGCAAAGTTTAAGAAGAGAACTCCCAGAAAGACCACCAACTGGGAGCTCTTTGGCACTATTGCTACAACATGGGAAGATGCCATTGTTGACAACATTGACGAGGAATACGAT